ATTCATAACTACACTCTCGAATTCGACTGATCAGTTTACTCTCGTTAACTTCGAAATGGGAAATTTTAGCATATACTTGCTGCCAATGCTACTCATTTTTTTCAATTACACTCTTCAAATGGCAGAATCTGCTGCTGCACAAAACCCTAGTGCCACAGATTTCATCAAGACCTCCTGCAGTGCCACTCGCTACCCTGCGCTGTGTGTGGACTGTCTCGCCAGCTACGCAAATACAGTGCAACGAAATGAGCAGCAACTGGCTGAAGCCGCCTTGGAAGTCAGCTTATCTAGAGCTCAAGCCGCCTCAACTTTTGTTTACCAGCTATCCAAATTTAAGGGCATAAAACAAAGAGAATACCTAGCAGTAAAAGATTGCATACAGAACATGGGAAACACAGTGGCTCAGCTTAGCCAGTCTTTGAAGGAGCTCGGTGGGATGCGTGTGTTAGCAGGCCAAAACTTTGTTTGGCATGTTGGCAATGTGAAGACATGGGTTAGTGCTGCTTTAACTAATGAAAATACTTGTCTTGATGGGTTTTCAGGTCCTGCCATGGATGGAAATGTGAAGATTTCATTAAGGATAAGAGTATTAAATTGTGCACAAGTCACTAGTAATGCACTTGCCTTAGTTGACCGCTTTGCAGCAAGACACAAAGCTCACTTACCTTGAAGATGTGTTTGATAAACAATATTAGATTGCATGTTACCAGATAAAGGATTTCATCTTCTTTTTTGTCTTTAATCTTGTATAGTGCGATCTAGTTAAGTACCGCCAGTACTCCAAAACATTGGCTTGTACGTGGATGTTAGTTAAAATACCGAAGTATTTTGAATGTATTATAACAAGATGTGTGGAACTTGACTTTTGTACGTTTGTTAAAAGAAAAAACCACGTGTTAAGCTTCAAAATTATGTGTGATTTGTTCTTGATCTTTTAATTTGGTGTATTAATTTTTTATATATTATTCTCTTCGTCCCATTTATATAGGTTAATTTTATTTTTCACACAAAATAAAAAAAAATTATTTAATGTTATTGAAAAAACAATTTTTGCAAATATGTTTCTTGATTTACCTTTATTTAAGAGTAATGTTATTTAATATCCCTCACATCTCCCCCTCCCCCTCTCACACATAAAAATTGAACTCTTCAATTCCATTATTTTACATAAACTGTCACATGACTGATATTTTATCACCATAATACAAATAATATTATTTTTATTTAATTATCAACAACTAGTGGTAAATAATGTGCTTTTGTCCATGTTTCAAGAGGTGGAAAATGTATGTAAGTATTTTGATAATTCCAAGAAGATAACTTAAAATACGTACAATTTCAAGATTAAGTGAGAGACAATTGTTATAACTAAACAAATTAAATAAAGGTATATTAGTAAACGAACGAAACAAATACTTTCTCAATAAAGAAACACGACTGCATAAATGAGATAAGAAAATAAGGAGGTCGACTTATATAAATGAGACGAAGAGAGTACATAAATGCTAAAGAAAAACAAAGCAAAGAAGCCATAAAGATTCGTGATTCAATAACAGATTCAAAAGTCTTTCTATGTATAACAGATTCAATATAAATCATTTTCATAAAAAAAGGTATTTGGACCACTTTATTACTTGTTATAACGATATCATTCACTTGCAGAATTTTAGCGCCCCAAATGTCATTTTACACAAAATATATCATGGATTTACTAATAAAATTAAATATAACTTGCAAAATTCAACTATTTGTCGATACTGAAAGGAAGGATATAATACAAAAGCAATATGATAAAAATTAGAAACTAGTACTCGACGAATTTTCCTGTTAGATGATTCAAGAATTTCTCTTCATTTTTGATGTAGGCCCAAGTCCAAACCCACAAAATTATCATGTTGGCACATTGTTTACTTTAGTCTGTTAAAAGTTAAAACACATGCACACTTCAACCACACATTTCATCAATTTTTATGGAAATTTACTAAAAATCTGATTAATCCCAAGCAAACAGGCAGAGACTATCCTTTAATTTTATACTTCAATTACTAGCTGGTAGGACACCTTTTGTCCCTTTAGAGTTGCTATTTACTTTGTTACAAAGTTGCTACTGCAATTATTCCTTTTAAAAGACATTGTAGCTCACCTTTTCATTAGAATAGGGAATATACAGATAGCTCTGTGCTCTTGCATTCTCCATTTCTTCTTTGAATTGGCTCCAAGTAGCCCAATTCTCTGCAATCAATTGACTCCAACTTCAATTTTCTGGCGACATAATTGGAAATAGTTGGAAGTAGAGAATTGACTTTGTATCCCATTAGTTCAGAAGAAAAATGTATTAGATTTATTTAGGGATCGACAACTTTTATTAATTTTTTATACACCATTTTAAAATTCATCAAAAATTTCGTCAAACAATCCTTATTATTAGTATATTTAACCGTTAAATCTTGCTGAAGACCGAAGCACTAATGACATTAACAAAATCAGTAGCTTCCACGATGAACCACAAACATAGTTACATAGTTCAACACAACACAAAACGACTATAAGCACGTTTAACAGTTCTGCGTAATGAGCAAACAAATTATCATTTTCATGCTTCTTGTTGTTGGACCCGATCACCATGACTCTCATCTGTTCCATGTGAAGTTTTAACCTCATGACTCCCTTCTCCCCCACCACCGTGCGCCGCCCATTTCACCTCAATCACCTTCGGTTCCGGCTGCGGTTTCTTCTCCATGGTCACTGTCAGCACCCCATCTTGACAAACAGCACAAATTTTATCCAAATTCGCTTTCTCAGGCAGCACAAACTTCTTCTACAATTTCCCAAATCTCCTCTCCATTCTCACATACTTCACCCCACCCCTTCTCTCTCTCTCTCTCTCTCTCGCTCGCTTTCTCCTCTCTCAACTCACCACCAGGACATTACTGTCTGTTGGAATCTTGTATCGAAAATTGATTTTGACCAATTTTAAATGATTATTTAAATTAAATTCATTATTTGATGAATGAGAAATTAAGTCAAATTTTAGTTGATTAAATACGAGAATTGTTGGAAAATCGTATAGAATATTATGAAATATTCTAGAAAATATTTGGATGGAAATGTGTGTCTTTTCATACGAAATATCATGACTTTTGGCATGATTATTTTCAATGAGTGTATCTCTTCTTGTATGGACATAAATTTGAAGAGATTTGTCATTTTGTATGGTTGTTTATTTTAAAACAAACATTAACTACTTTATATAGATTCCATGTGTTTGGATTTTATTAATTCAATTCATAATTTCATATCATTTCTTTTAGTTGCATTGCTTAAAAACACATTGTAAAAGTTGTGTTTTCTTGTATAAAAACATGGTTAGGTAGAGAGAGAATTTCGTTAAGAGTTCCTTAGTCTACGTAATTTGGAGTGCCCGTTGTATCTTGGGAGATGATTGTCGAATAGCACCGATGCGGAGGAAATTCATTTTAAGGAGAAAGTGTTAAAACACTTGCCTCGATTAATCCAATCATTTGCATTTTCTATTTTATTTTCCAATTTCTTTGAATTTGAGAATTGATCTCAGAAAAAATTAACTATTCTTTTGATTGTAAGAAATGTTTTTTATCGAAGAATGGAAAAGATTAAATCCATCGTCACGTATTTGGCTTCAATAATTATCATTTCATCTTCTAAAATTCTATATTAGTAAGTCGAAAGTATGTTCAATTTTGCACAAGTAAAAGGTACGTTTGAGAATATAATTTATGTACGTTATCGGTGTAATATCCATCAACAATCTTAAGATGAATTTTGCATTGTGTATATTGTATTTTATTTGCAATAGTTGCATGAATAAAAATCATAAGAAAAATTTAGTTTGGCTATAAATGGTTGAAATGTGCGTGACTTAAATCTGCTAAAACTTATTTACAATTTTTTTTTATTTATTTATATGAAAGTGTGATTTTCATGAGGTGTATGTTCACTCAATGATATATATTTAAATGGAATAGTAATATATATTTGATAGTTTCAATGAATGATCACAAGCCTCATGACATAACAGGGAAATGGTGCCTATTAATAAATAATTTGTGCATACGGTTTTGCATTAAATTGGTTGATACACTTGTTGATTTTTCCTATTGAATGGTATATGTGTAAATTGGAGGAAAGATGAAATTTTGTGTAATTCTTTTGTCTCGTGACTGTTCGATTTCTTATTCTAAATTAGTTTAATTGGTGCCTATTTAATTTTAAAATGTGCAATGAAGATATATGTCTTGAAATTATATATGCCATGTGAACCATTGTGTATGCATATTAAAATTTTATCCATTAATGTGATGTATAAATCATGTATGAAATTTATGTGAAAGATTGTATCTTTTCACTTAATTTGAAGAAAGTTGTTTTGAATGATGACTTTTTGATATGGAAATAATGAAATCGTATCCATTCATATGATTGGAATTTCTTTTGGCCATTTATTGTATTTTTTGAATTTATACAATTATTATAAGCAATTAAATATGGAAAGTTGTGTACTTTCATGAATTGCAACTGATGGTATTTAAAATAAAATACTTATTTATTTGCATGTTTTGACCATGGTAATTAAATTGATTTTATGCATCATAAGGAGGTGCCAAATATACGCCCTTGAAGGATGGTGAGGCTTCTCAGCATCGTCGACGAAGTCCAGCATGTCGTGAAGAGCTACTAACATCGGAGCATCAAAACCTATGTTTCTCAAAGCTACTTCCATCGAAAATTATGCAGAGAAAAGGAATAAAATCAACTGATCGGAATCTAATAAATTTTATGACATATATAGGTGTTTGTGTGCACAGTGGCGGATCCAGGATATTAATCCAGCTAGGGCGATTGTTGGCCACCGCAATAGCAAGATTGTTTATTAATATTTACTTAAATAATATTAAAAATTTTAATCAATATATAAATACACTAAAATGTATAAGTCATATATATATGAAAATATAATTCAACACAACCCAAAATAAGAATAAAAAATAAATACATTTGTCAATCATATACGAATGATCAAGTTTCAAGTTTTTACGAATTTAAACAAAACAAGACGAAGTTTATACTTAAAACATAATTGTATTGAAAAGACAAACTAGAGTTTAAGCGAAGTTTATGCAAAATTTTTAAAACAATAATTTTTAGAATTAGGACTATTTAAGATTTAATGTTTTTCAAACTCTTGAACCAAAAAAAAAAGAGTTCTTAAATTATCCAAATTTAATTTTACAAAATAAATTGATAAAATCATATACTGAAAGTATATATTTTGAAATAATAATTTGAGTAAACAATTTTTTTTAAAAAAAGATATTTTGGAAACGAAAACTAATAATATATAATTGTTTAGGTTTTCAATTTAATTTGTTAAAAAAATTAAAAGAAGAGAGAAGGTGATTGGAATCGAAACATCCTTTATTGGTTAAAAATTGGTACAATTTTTATTAATCTTTGTAAAAACATTAAAAGAAAACATAGTGAAAGTGAAAGGAATCGAACCTCCTTCATTTCACATGGAGAATGAGCACTCAACCATTTAAGCAACATTGCTTATCATGTGACATTTATGCTGAAAAACATAATTTATTGGTTACAAATTGGTACAATTTTTATTTATTTATTATTTGTCAAAAGATCAAAAGAAAGAGTGCTGGCTAAAGGAATCAAACCCCAATCAATTGCTAAGAAGAGTAAGCACTTAACCTTTTGAGCTAGCCAACTTATCGTGTAACATGTTTGCAGTAACATCTATATATATTAATATAAAATCTTCCTTTAATCTTTTTTCTCGACTGATCCAGCACTGACGGCCGCCCCGACTCGCCGGGTGCTGGATCCGCCCCTGTGTGTGTAGATTAGTTCGAATGCTGTAAAAGGGGCGGGTGCAAGGTGGCGCAAGCGACGTTTATAAATGAAATGTATTGGCGTTGAGAGGGGTACGGTGTCCAAGTAGATGAGGCTATTGCATGGCTGTTTGACAACTAGGACTGCGGTTCTCAGATATTCCCACATAAACTCAGTTAATCACACAAATGATTGTTGAAATATGATTGAAATTCAAGTTAATCCTTAAAAGTTAGTTTTGAACTACTTTAGTCATTCAAGTTAACAAATGCTGCTAATTTGGTCGCTTTGTTTGCAAGATTACCGTCCTATCTTACATGTAATTAGTTACATGGACCAACATGCATGAAGTCAACGTCATGAAATTACATATTGTTGGAGTAAATTCAGAAAAAGATTTCTCTAACCAATAAATCATGAATAGTAGACCATTTTGATGTACAACGTATCAACAAGAAATTTGTTCTTACACTTTATTAAAATTTATATTTTTTCAATTATTCTATGAAACATAAAAGGAATTAGGAAGGACAAAATTAGAACTGATCGATTTTAGTTCAGTGTAATTTCATCACTTCACAGGTAACTTGTAAGTGTTAGTTTTGTGTGTATATAATTTCTATCACCACATAGTTAGATTTCATTAAAATTGGAACATGCCCACATTTTACGTTTGGTCTAATTTTGTTGAAGTCCTATTTGATATAGATTTTGCGAAAATCTACTTTATGAAATATATTTTTTTTGAATGAGGTATGATTAAAAAGTAGGAAAAACTATAAATTTACTTGCAAAATTATTTTATTAAAAGAATATATAATTAAAAATATTTTTTTTAAAAAAATCTGTATACCGAAAATTTAAAGAAACAACGAAGTTTCTCTTGGTTTCCCCTGCATTACTCAAGTGCAAAAAAAAATGTTGAAAACTATTTACTACTTTTTCTATAACTAGAGGACATGATGCAGGAGGATTCAAGTTAGATGAGGTCGAGCTGTCTGATAGTACGTTAATGGCACTGAGATACCATGAGTTGGCATATTAGCGCAAAATTGGCAAATAATCATCGACGTTTCCTAATGGGGCATTTTTGGACACGTTTCGGTATTTTGGCCACAACTTTAGCTACGGTTGTCAGAATCACGCCCATTACCCTAATTCGGAAAGCTCTTTTCGATGCGCACGTAGTGGTTACCAGCTATGCTCAGTGTGCATCGGTTTCTAGGTCAAATTCGATTGTTTTCCCTTCCGAATCATCAATTTAAGTTATTTTTTGTCATTTTTAATAATATTTCAATTTTCTTTTCGACATAAATTATGATCTCAACTTAAGCCAGATTTTTGGTATCTTATTTCCGTCATTACGTATTTTCTTTTGGTATAAATAATATGATTTTGCTATTTTTGGTAAAATTCCGAAAATTATTATTTTCTACCTATTTAACCCGACTTATGAGTTATTTTCGTTCAATTGTTGAATAATAAAAATTTTCTTCTTTTTCTTAGTACTAGTTTTTACCAGAGCAATCAAATGCACGGATTGTGTTATTTTTAAGCCAATATTAGCGTTTTGAATGTTAAGATGAAATAGAAGATTGTATTTCAAATTTTCCATCATAG